AGAAACACTTTATCTGCTGAAAGATAAAATAAGTACAACTCCTGAAGTCATAGGTGTAGGCAAAGACTTTCTCAACAGAACCCTGGTTGCACAGGAAATAGTACTGAAAATCAAAAATGAGATCACATCAAATTAAAAAGTTTCTGCAGGGGGGCGGGGGTTTAGCTCAGTGGCACTGCACCTGCCTGGCAAGGGCAAGGTCCTGAGTTCGATTCCAGGTACTGGGAAAAAAAAAAGAAGCTTCTGCAGAGCAAAAGAAACAACCTACAGAATGGGAAAAAAATTTGCCAGTTACTCCTCAGAGGATTAATATCCAGAATATATAAAGAACTAAAAAAATTAGACCTCCCCCAAATAAAAAGATCCAGTCCAGAAATGGGCAACTGAAACGAAGAGACACTGCTCAAAAGTACAAATAAATACGTGAAGAAATGTTCAGCATCACTGGTCATTAGAGAAATGCAAATGAAAACAACACTGAGATTCCATCTGACTCTAGGAAGAATGGCCATCATCAAGAAAACTAACAAATACTGGAGAGTTGTTTATAGCAGCACAACTCATAATGGCTAAATCTTGGCCTATATGTGCATCAACAGATGCATGGATAAAAGAAAACATGTCATGTATACAAAATGGAATACTACTCAGCCACAAAGAGTAAGTTTCAGTCATTTGTAGGTAAATGGATCCACCTTGAAATCATCACGTTAAGTGAAATAAATCAGACACACAGCTTAAATACTGTATTGCATGGTTTCTCTTATATGAGAAACCAAAATATCAATAAATTAAAGAGAAAAATAAGAGACAGATAGTAGGAAACGGGGAGATAGATCTTTTGCAAACAGGAAAGAGACCAAGAGATTAAGGGGAGGGAGAGGAGGGTGAGCGTTAGGGGAAGAACTAACAGGTGTTACGCATTTGTATGAACACCCCACATGAATGTCATTATGTAGAGCAGACAGGTAATAATAATTTTTTAAAAAGAAGACTTGCTTATGGCCAACAGATACATGAAAAAATGTTCACCCTTACTAATCATTAGGGAAATACAAGTCAAAAGCATGAGACATGGCCTTCCTCTTGCTAGGTTGGTTGTTATCAAAAGGAGAAGACTGCGATGCTGGCAAGCATGTGAAGAAAAAGAAAACCCTTACACAAGGTGTGATCTAAAACTACAGAGAATGTTTAAACTGTGAAAACATTCTCACAGTAACAGACACACTGCCCCGCCATCCCCCTTACGCATCCCACAGTCGCATGGCAGCGCTGGAAGCCTCTTTTGTTCTGGTTGTTCTGCCATGGCTGCCTTCATCTCCTGAATCGATTCCAAATGTTCAGTCACTCCAACTTTGTGGAAGAGCCAGGCTCACAGGGTCTCCGGCCTGCTGAGGTGGACAAGGACACGGGGTCACGTTACAAGCCCGACATTCCCTGGAATTCTCATTTTGTGCTTGGATTCACTTGTTCTTCCACTACAGTCTTGCCCTCGCAGGAGCCGGTCCGGGTCACCACAGTGCATCGTGAGATCTCCTTAGTCTCTTTTATCCCTGAGTTTCCGGTCTTTCCTTTTTTTCATAACTATATGGTAAGTCCCCGACTTACGATCATGCGCATTGTGCTTCACAGGTGTGCTGTATAAGAGTCACAGGTGTATTGGAGAAGACTCACTCTGTCGGATTACAAATGAATCTGACTTTTGAACATTCTCCCGGAAGGGACCTTGTTCGTAAATCAGGGACTGCTGTAACAATTTTGAGGATTAAGGGTCAGCTAGTCTGTGGAGTGGCTCAGCTTCCATTTGCTGCTGTTCTCAGGACTGGGCTGGGTTTTGTATCCACAGAGAAGTGTCCTTCTTGTCACTTCAAGGAGTGCCATCAGCACGACCTGTCACTGGTGTGCTTACTTGCCAAGCTGCTGTTTTTCGCTGTCCTTTGTCTGGCCCATCCTCAAAGTGGAGGGCGCCAGAGTTAGGAACTCTGCAAAACAGTTCTGCTTAGCAGAAGTATATTTGAGCTGAAGTGATTCTCTATTTAGAGTAAAAAATTACAATTAGAAGAACTGAATGGAAGGAAATGGGAAAATTAAAGAGTTTTCCAGTTATTTCCCAGGAAAGGATTTTAAAGGATATTTTTGATCAAAATTATCTTAAGGAGTTTCTAAGACGCTAACAGTATATAAGTTGCTTCTCATTCTCTCAGAATCATCCAAAAGAAATAAAGAGAACACTTCAACTTGTAAGAAACTAGAAATGTGAAAGCTCAACCCACAGTGCACAGGGGAGGAAGGTGACACGCAGAGAAAACGGCATGCAGGGGTGCAGACAGGTGCCAGAGAAAGAAGGCACACAGAAGAAATTAGAAAATGTGTAGAAAGTAGAAGAGGTAACAAAATTATTTATATATGTGATTGTTTTCAAGGAAAACTTAAAAAATGCCTCAGGGAAGGAAAGGGGAGACTCACACAAAAGTTTCTTGGTTGTGCCTGATCACCTTTTAAAAACAGGAATAATTTTTGCACTGTCTGGGCTGAGCCCAGCTTAAATCATCTACAGCTCACCATAAAGAAATTTCCTCAGAAGAAACATCTGACAGAAACATCCAACTTAGAAATAACATCCAGGCCCTAGTATAATGCTTGACATGTGATTACATTTTCCTAGGTGTTACGGCCTGTGTTTAATGTCCCACCGGCCTCATGCTATTTCAGAAATGGCTGAATCTACTGTGCTTCATGGGAGGGGTCTCAGCCCAGAGGCACCAGGATTAAGGGTGTGACTGCCGCCTGCCCTACATAGTCTGGATAAAAGGGGCAGGAAGATTCTGTCAAGGTTTCCTGTTGCTTTTGCTGCTTTCTGCTGCCATGCACTGTTGCCCCTCTGCCATGTGCCACCCTGCTTTGGAGCCAGCCAATTATGGACTGAAACTTCCACAAACAGTGAGCTAAATAAACCTTTCCTTTTAACTTTGGGTGTCAGGTATTTTATCTTAGCAATGAGAGAAAAGCTAACTTCTGGGTAACTTCTTGGTATTACACTAGTCAGCTCTCCCATTGCCACCACATGGTACCTGGCGCCCACAAGTTAAAGGAGGTGGTCTCATTAGGCTCATGGCTTCAGCGGACTCAGTGCTGACCTGAAGGCTCCAAGGCAGGAACCTCACGGTGAAGGGTGTGGTGGAACAAATCTGCTCAGCTCATGGGGGCTAGAGAGCAGCGAAGGGGACCAGATGGAGCACCAAGGTTACAGCTTCATGACCAGGAAGTGAGATCCGCTGATCCCCGGGGCAGCTCCCAAGCCAATCAGCTTGACACAGGCAGACTGCACCAGCACTGCTACCATCTGTCACTTTCTACCAGACAAAGGGGTTACTTTGAACATGTCTGGGTTATTTCCAAAGTTTGGAATTCTATGGCTGCTTATCACTACACACTCTAATATAAATTATTCCCTCTCCCAAAAGTAATTTCAGATGGCCAACACTCACTGAATTTGGAATCTTTCTGTAACTGTCACTGGCCATTCAGCATTTGATCTCGCTCCTTTGGCATGAGACTTCAGGCCTCCAGCACTTTCTAATTCCCGGGCGCACTTTGCGTCCTTGCTTTGCGCCACAACTCTGAAAATACTGTTTCCTGTGCTGAGCGACCTGCACCTGACCGCTGCCTCCTGAAATCATCCTCGCTCTGGAGACCAGCTCGATCCCAGCTTCTCACCAAGCTCGGTGCAAACCACGTGGGCAGGTGTATCACACACATATGCACATGTACATACACAGAAAAGTAACAAAAGACACAAAAGCACAGTGGTCAGTTTAAAAAAGTTATTTATTAAACAAGTTAAATACAACAAAAAGTACATATAAAAGTCCAAAATTATTGGATCCCTTTTGAAACATGTATTCTGGGAAGAAATCTTTGTCGATCTTTTCAATGATAAGAGAGATGATAAAAATTAAACACATGAAAAAATTGTTAAACAAATAACAAAGCATGTGGTAAATTCAGAAATAAAAGATACAGCCACAGAAACAGCTAAACTATGAAACCAAAATGTTTCACATGTGTTCGTAGGTGCCCCTGGTGACTCACGAGTGCTAAACCACGTCCTCAGGAAGAAGCGACGTTTAAACTCACCTTATTAAAGTATCTTACTTGGTGTTACACAGACCAGTTTTAGAAAGGGTATGTGTTTGGCATGTAAACTGTCCACTTTGTAGCAAAACATTTTATATATGAACATCATTTATATTTAGTGGAAGACGAAAGAAAACTCGTAATTTACATGTTCTGATTTGAGATAATTTGTGGATTTGGTAGTTCTGCTAAATTCCACCATCATAACCACCAAATGAACTATGAAAAGAATGATTCAGTTTTAAAAAACCTTCTAAAAATTTCCTTCCTTTAGGGTGAAAGGAAATACATTCTTTGCTCCTAAATTATGACACTGTTTCTATGGTTAACACAAAAATTAGTGCAGGAGGGAGGGAGGAGTCCTGGAGAAGAGCCTCTGTCTCGTCAGTAGTTCTGGGTGGGTGGGTTACACGGCACTCTCTGCAAAGTCGGTCACACTAATTGGTGGGCGCGCGTGTGGAAACCTAACGGCCCGCGTCTACCACAGGCTCTCAACCCTCACTGACGCCGGCAGAACGTGCGGAGACCAGGGATGCAGCGTGCTGCTGGTTCGGCATGAGGGCGCTGGAGAGGAAGCCTTGTGTGTGTGGTGAGGTGTGGTGTGTGTGTGTGTAGGAGGAGACTAGGGAGGAAGTAGTTTATCCGGGATTGTGAACCACATTTCCGTGACTAGATCTCGACTGTAAACAATAAAAATTCAAGGTCTAAATGCTGCGCTGCTCTAGTGGCGGCAGCAGCACACCTCGCCTCCTCCCCACTTTCCGCCCGGAGGACAGGGCACGCACGCACGCACGCACGCACGCACACACACGTTCGCATGCGCACTCCTGGCTCAGTCTGACAGCGAGGGGGAGCGCACAGACCTGCCGCTGGCGGGGCTGGAGAAGGCGAACGGCTCCTTGCCCTTCTCCCTGCTGTCGTGCTTGTGCTTGTGCTTGTGCTTGTGCTTGTGCTTCTTCTTCTTCCTCCTGTGCTCGTGGTGGTGGTGGTGGTGGTGCTCGCTGTGTTTGGAGGGGGACTCCTTGGAGAGCGCGGACAGTGGGGCCGCCGTCGCGGGGTGCGCACTCATCTCCAGAGGCACCTGCTCCTTACCTGCAGAGGAGAGACCCCGTCAGCCCCACCCGCGCGAGCATGAGGCCGAGGCCGGAGGAAGCTGAGGCAGTGCTGTGCCCTCGCCACTTCCGTTTGCAAAGGGACACGACCCCAAGGCAGAACCGTGGGCCATGGCTCTCACACCCCGATGGCCAGCTACCATCCGATGCTAATACAGCAAGTGCTGTGAGGAGACAGCAATTGCCTAGGGCCGCAGGTTAAAGCCACATTGCCAATGAAATCAGCTCCTTCCCGGGGAACCAGTCACACACAAGTAAATATGCTCTCCCGGGTCCTGGCAACAGGATCTTAGTGAAAACCCGACTTTTCTGTCGCTCTTTAACGGCAGAATTTCTGACGGGCGACAAGCAAGTGGCCTCTCTCAGAGGCTTCTGCCGACACGAGCTCCTCTTACCCCCCAACCCAGGCGTGGCGCAGCTGCCCTGCGCTGGTTCTCACACACCGAAGCAACGTCGCCCTGACGAGGTTAAAGCATCTGCACAGTTTAGGCTGTCACAACTGGTGGGGGAGAGAGGCTGCTGGGCCTCGTAGGGTGAGGCCAGGGGTGCCCCGAACGCCTTCAGGTTACAGCCCAGTGCCCTGCATCACAGCAGCGCCAGGCCAAGCGTCGGCGACCTCCAGCTGGGAAACCAAGCCCTGCTGCACGGACCCCACCGAGAGCCAAGCTGGGAAGGTCAGCGACTCGAGATTTGGCTGACCACTGGCCCAAGAAAGCCCTGGAACTCAGGGCACCAGTTTCAGAAAATGCTTAAATCCAAACTAAAAACAAAACAAAAAACACTTCACTAACATAGAGATCAATGCAGCAAAAAAAAATTTTAAAGTGACTTCTCAATACTAATTTTGATCCAAAGCAGCCCCCAAACCATGGTTTCAGGCACCGATCGCCAGACTTTTCAAACCCCTGCAGTGCGGCACAAGTCACAGTGACAACTGCGTGTCCAGAAGTTGGTCTTCTGGCCTCGTCTCCTACTCCTGCTCCGGCCACTCCAGGCCAGCCCTTCCGTAACAGTGTGCACGCGTGCATGTGAGTGTGTGAAATGTCATTCCCTATGCTTGGAAAGCCTTTCCTGACTTCTTGTCTGAGTCTCACATTTTTTTTCCCCAGCAGCAGGGGTCAAATTCAGGACCTTGCGCTTGCAAGGCAGGCACAGTGCCACTGAGCTAAATCCCTGGCCCTTCACATCTTCTAAGGAACATCAAAAATGATACAAGACCCAAGGAAAGGAGTGATGAACTGGACAGATCTCCACCCTCCCGGAGCTCCCAACCTAGGAAGGAAGAAAGGAACTCAGTGCATGGGAGTAACAAGAAGAAAAAACACGAGACAGGAGCACACAGGACTTCACTAGTCAGAAGCAAGAGGGTGAGGCAGGCTCTCCTGGAAGTAAGGGCAGAGCTGAGACTGGGGGGCGGGGGGCAGGAAGGAGGAACTGTTGGGTGCACAGTGATTCCAAGGGCAGCTTCGTCTCCTCTAGGACAGCGCCCTAAAATGACGACAAGGAGTCGGCCCTCCCTGCTCCCACAGTGTAACACAGACGAGGGAAGGAAGGGCAGGGATGAACTTGCCCACGATGCCCACACACATACTGCAGGGCTCCAGTCTGAGTCGGGCCTCTCCCTTCAGGCTGAGAGCTGTCTTTCTCATCTCTGTGCCCAGTGTGCAGCTCAGCACCAACCACCCGACAAAGCTCGTATTGTAACAATTTTATAGCTGTTGCTCTTCCAATTGGATGTCAGGTGAACTCAGTCCAAATAAAGGTAATTTGAAGGTCACTGATTGGGGGAGAGAGAAATAAAGCAGGAAAACTAGTAAGAGATCATGTATTCAATTGGCATTTATTGGCTGTTAAGACTTCCTTGTGTCAGACACTGTTCCAATATTTTAGAACAAATGAACAATGACAGAAAAGTTTCTGTTCTCCCAGATTATTCACATTTTATTCTCATAAAAGATTTTTCTATATTCTTGACTGCTTTCTGCAAAGCCAACACTAGTACTACTGCAAAATCGTAAATACACAGAAAAGCAGGCTTGAGAGCCTGTGTTTGTTGTGGTAATTGGTCCCTTGGGTTGGGGCGCAGCTCAATGGTAGAGGCTTGCTTAGCATCTTTTAGGCCCTAGGTGTGATGAGGGATGGGGGTGAGGAGGCGCTGGAGAGGGAAACAGGGCCAGAGGGAAGAGCAGGAACAGACAGAAGGGGAGGTGAACAGGGACCCAGACATTTTCAAGAGAAAAAACCTGACAGATTACTTGCGTTACAGTTTGAGTCAAATGGTGAGTTCCCAATATAAACAGAGGGAGCCACACCGAACGACACAGAACCAGGTAACAGCGAGAAGTCCAAGAGACTCCAAAGCCTGACGAACAATCCAACAGATGTCTGCAACGCTGTACAGGGGTCACTGTCTGCACCTTCGGCAGTCTGAGGCCCTTTTCTGTGCTGCGTGGTTGCCATCTGATCCTGCATAGCTGCCAAGCAACCTGGACTGGAAGAGCAAGGGACCCTACTGGACCTGTGGTTCCCGGCAGAGGGAGCGCCAGACGGAAAACTTGTGCTTGTGGGGTATTCCTTCCCAAAGAAGGCCTGCAAAGAAGACTGACAGCCCCTTCAAAAGCGAACCCCACCTCTTGTCTGAGATCCAACAGCTTGCTTGCCTTAGGGTACATTAATTACAAATCAAATTGCATCAAATTTAGTGGTTAGGTTCACTGTTGACCTTATGGAGAAATCTGATTCGGTTCTCCTTCTCCTCCAATTTGGTTTGTGACCAGAATCATGAAAAGAACTAAGTTTGGGAACCGAGGTACCACTGTAAAGGATGTAGTGGCCAACTATTATGTGGATTTTGCATGGACAGACTTAAAGGAACTGTTAAAAATAACACTCATGTTTGAGTTGTGAGGAAATATTTAATGGTATGAAAGAATTACCTTTAGAAATACCCTTTAGGTATAATACTTTTTGTCTGTTTGTTTTTGGTACCAGGGATCGAACTCAGGACCTTCCACTTTCGAGGCAGGCAGCAGCACCACTGAACTTAATCCCCGGCCCCTTCAGGTATAATACTATTACCATGGTTATGGCCTCTAAAATGCCTACCTTTTAGAGATACACAGTATACTACAAATACACTAAGATCTACTTCACAGTGGTTTGAAAGGGAAGATACGGGCCTGGCAAGCACAGCTGAAACCACAGAGGAGACACCGGGGTGAATATGCCAGTCAGACAGATCACAGCTTCCCGTAACAAAGTGCTGAGTGAAGAGGTCACATTAAGGAATTTGGCAGTGCCTGTGAAAATGCTAAATCTCCGTATTCTTCGATGCAGAAAGTTTGCTGGTGACGTCCAGCATCCCTACTGCGTGCCAATGTGCGCGGACACAGGGAGCGCGGGGACAGAGGAGTCAGCCCGGCCTGTGCTGTCCCCACCGAAGCCTCGGCTCTCAGTTCCTGTTCGTTACAGCCGCACACGTTTTTATTTGCCTTTTCACTGTCTTTCCTAAAAAACTTTTACCAGGTCTAATCCAAGGTAACACAAAGTCTGAGTTTGCTCCCAAGTGGACCCTATTTACAGTCAGATTTGGGACACGCATGCGTTTGCTTTCACTGTAGTGTAAGGAGGTCTCCCACCTACAGCATCTCTATCAAGAAGATGCGGACATCACCAGCCCCTGGACACAAACAGTCACAACACAATTTCAAATATCCCTTCAGGCATTTGTAAGATACTTCGAGCTCACCTAGACAGGAGGAATCACTCACTTTTTGACTAATGAAAGCCCTTCCAGTGACCTGAAATACAAATTTCTATTCCAGATAGCGGATGTATCAGAGGAACTCTACATAATTCAAAATACTGTACCTTTGATATTTCATGTTATACACAAAGAGCAAAAGAAATACTCAGTTTTGTTCTAGCCAACATAAAGTCTTTCCTGAAGACCTAATAAAGGTAGACAGGGCCAGGGATATAGCTCAATGGTGCCACACCTGCCTGGCAAGTACAAGGTTCTGAGTCCAATTCATGGTACTGAAAAAAAAAAAAAAGAAATAGCAAATAATCCCAATTCTACTAACTCCATTCACATTAGGTGTATGTCTAAAGTTAACACAAAACCTGAGGTTTCTGTGAGGGAAGGTATGAACTTTGTTCTCTGAATTCTTTAGATTGCTATAAAAAGTGAAACTGAACTACATCACTATAAATTAAGGATAAAAAGAATATAAGTCTGGTTTTCATACTGAGTTTCAAAAGAAAGAACTTTAGTGAGGGATTCCAAGCTTTAAAAAAATTGTTTTAATTTTTAAAAAAAGTTTGCAGCGTCAGAATTGTGTCCTCTTCCACCTTACGCTAGGCAGCTGCAGGGCTCTCCTCCTCTGGCTGCCCACCCTGCTGGCCCCAGGCTGCAGAGGGAAGAGGGAGCCACCCGGCCTCTGCGCATCATGAGAACACGACTCATCCGCACGTGGTCACGTCCCACGTACTCCCCGCTGTCACCTGCTGGGAGGGAAAACCCGGCGGGAGGGTGGGAAGGCCACTCAGCAGCTCTCAGCTCTCCCTCATACCCTGCCCTCCTGGCCCTCCCGGCCTGGCCAAGGGCAGCACAGTAGCCTCCCAGATGCAGCCAGGAGGCCACTGCAAAGCACAGGCCCAGGTACAGGCCTCGCAGGTGCATCTTCTTCAGGAAGAGCTGGAAATCAAGTTTTTGTGTGTGATCCCTTCACATCCGGCCAGTTAGTGCAAACATTTTTACAGGCCTTACTCAGACTGTCTAAAAAGAGGCCTCCTCTGGATGAGCTGGCCAGGGCCCCCAAAACCCACACGTGGCTTTCACCCTGAAACCCGCAGACTGCAAGAGGTCACAGGGGTCCCTCTCATGACCCCAGCTCTCAAGCCCTGAGTAGTGGCCACCTCCCAGGGACACCAGCTCCCAGGTGCAGGCAGGAGAAAGGAGCTGGCTTCTCTACCCACAACCCCCAGGAACCTTCCTGGGGCTGTCGGATGGCACTGTCCCGGCCCTCAGGCAACACTGTGCTGGGAGGAAGGCCTCTCGTGCAGGCGCTTAAAGCACTTGTGTGGAGGTGCTCCGGGTGAGCTATTTATCCAATATAAAAACGGTTATGAAAAACTAAGTTCAAATTTCCAACATTAATACACATAAGGTTTTCTACTACTGCTGCTGAACTGAAGATGTGCTCAGTGTCTTAGGTACTGAATACCATAAATGCACTTAAAGGAAATGATAAATGAAGGAATATATTCAAAATTACAGTTTGATGGAGCAGCCCACATAACTATTACGCATTTTGCCTCATGGTATAAGAGCATCCTACATGGACAGCAACGAAAGCTAAGATTTTCCTGCTTTCTATTCCCCAGCACTAATGCTCCATCTTTCTCTCCCCATTTTCTCACAGATGCCATAAGAGCTACAATACTGGGAAGAAAGACTGCAAAAAATCCTGAAAATGTGTTTTTAGAAGCAAAATTAAACAATGATACAAAAGCACATTGGAAAGCACAATTTGCTTCTACACAGGTTCATGTGCCAAATTTAGAAAATCCAAACATATATGTTCATATTCTTTTTGGAACAGGAATTGATCAGACTCTTAGAACACCAGACAGGAGTCATTTCATCAGAGGCAAGGAAGGCAGGCAGAACTATATCAAACTATATCCAAGAACTTTGAAGTTCAACAAGCTTTTTAATCTTTAAAAGTGTTGGGAATTCATGATTTTAACAAGTATAATAAGGCTGAAAAATATAAAACTCAAACCAAGAGAACACAGAACCCAGGGTGTAGCTCAGTGTGGGATCCTGGCTTAGCATGCATGAAGCCCTAGGTCCAACCCCCAGCACAGTAAGACAAAAAGCAAAAGCAAGAGAATACAAATCAGCAAGAGCCAAGACATTCGAACTCACTGATCGGAATAAAGGCCCAAGTCTCTGGCTCAAACGCATCCCATGAATCTCTGAGCAAAGGCACAGAGCAGACGAGGAACTAGAGACGAGCAGCAGCCTTGGGTCTCCCATGCGCATTTCCCAGGTGAGGCCCTTCCTTGGCTGCCACCCCATCCACCACCGCGACCCCAAGCTGCCTGAGTCCACACACAGCGAGCGCTTCTCTGTTTGCCTCAGGCAAAGCATGGTCTACACACATCTGGCCCTGGTGGGAATTTCACCAGAGGCTCCTGGATGGGAAAGTCTAACTAATGACTTCTGGAAAAACTGTTCTTTAAAGATGACACTGCTTATGTATCATCTTGTTTCTCAAGCCCCATTCTTTCAAAACCTGAGGACTGACTCTCTGTCTCGTGGTAATTCATCAGCAGTGTTTATTCTTTATTTGATTATAATCTCTTTGTAAGCAACAGAGGAACAGAATAAGCAGATGATCATGTAAAACAGAACAGCTAACAAACACATCTGAACCAAATCACCTTCATAAACTTCAGCCTAATTAGTGTGGACTAACTTACAAGAGAAATACGTTAAATTTCTATCAAACAAATGAATCATCAAACACTGAGGCATAAGTGGTTGACTTTTTGTATTTTATAAAGGTGTAATGATAAGGTTTTGTGATTTTTATTGAAGTTAGCATTTGTCAGAATATTTAGAAATAACACTGTAAGAAAAGAGCAAAATGTTAATATAATGGTGACATATAATAGCATAATGAGGAATGATGTTTCCTTGTTTATTTTTGTTACCTCCAAGTTTTCTGTAACAGCAGTGCATTACTTTTGAAATAGAAAAGCTTTAAAACAGTCTTTAAATGTAGGTAACACAAATCAATGTATTGTAAAATAAGCAATTTCGAAGACTGATTTTTTTTTTTTTGGTACCAGGGATCGAACTCAGGTCTTCACGCTTGCGTAGCAGGTGGTGAAACCACTGAGCTAAATCCCCGGCCCAAAGACTGATATTTTTAAGCATTTTTAAAATTAATAAAGTAATGTCTATGAAGTTCGTTAAATTTATTCCTCAGTGGAAAACAAAACACAACAGAGCCAGGACAGAAAGGCAGTTCCCGAGCAAGTGAGCGAGTGGTACCTGCTCCCTTGCGTGCGAGGTCCAGGGCCCATGGGGGCTTCAGGGTCGGGGTGGGGGTGCCCTCGAAGCCTGGTGCACGTGGGGGCAGCAGGGCGGACCGGGCGCTGGCCGGGCGGAACTTCGGGAGCCCTGAAACCCAAACCAGAGAGAAGACAGCCATGTAGTGCTTTGTTTTCTAAAAGCAGAAAGCTGACAGGTGTTTACAAGTTAGCCTTAAAACAGGAATAGCTCAACCACAGCAAGACCACAGTAACAAAAAGAACACTATCATAAAACACAAAGGACCCGCCTGCTACGCAAGGGCAAAGACCCAAGTTCGATCCCCGGTACCCAAAAAAAAAAAAACACGAAGGACTCCATCTGACTTGGCACTCTGTCGTGGGTCCTGGAAGTCACACCTGAGGACAACACACACGGAGCGAGGGGGACAGGAGCCTGCGTGGGGAGAAGTCTGCACGGCTAGCTGAACACGAAAATCAGACTCACTGCACGTGTTTTATTTTTTATGTGGAACTTTGCATAAAGTTTGCCTGCTCCCCCAAAACTCGATGAATTCCATTCTAAAATTCACTGAAAAATAGATCAAAATTTAGGGAGTACAGAAGAGTTCCATCACCAGTAGTTTCATAGCCAGCATAAGCAATGTCATTGCAGGGATTCAGAGGTCAGCATCGTCGAGGGAACCCCGTGTAACCTCTGCCTGTCTGCTGTGGAAGTGCTAGGGTCACTTACAAAAGCCCAGGAATTCCTCACCTATCAGTTTCCAAATGCACCTTAGGCCCACATTCTACCTGAGGCCAGTTCTCACATCCTGTCAGCTCTTCTTAAGATTACTGGACAGTAAAAAACAATCAAGGCCCCATAAATAAAATTCAAACAAAATGCCAGCAAACAAAAAGCAAACCAACCCGAGTAATGGGGACTTTATCATAATGTTATGTGTTAAACAGAATAATAAAAAAAAAAAATCCCACACTCAGATGTAAAAATCACAGACCTGGTATGACTGGGATTTGTAAAAAACAGAAAAGAAGAGGAGGGAAAGAGGTTGAAGAGGAAAAGAAAAATACACATCACAAAAAATGCACTCAAAAGTAAATCTGAAGTTATCATTTTGTAGTTAGTAAGAATTTTAAGTCATTATACTGAGGACAGTAAAAGTGTTATGGCAGATAATAAGGATGATAAATGAGAGTTAACAAAGTACACCTTATGTATCGATATGAATTTTAAAAATAATATTGAACTTCTCAGCCATAAAGAACGAGAAACTAGGGCCAGGGATTTAGCTCAGTGGTTCCACCGCCTGCCCCTCAAGCACAAGGACCCGAGTTCGATCCCTGGTACCAAAAAAAAAAAAAGAGAGAAACTAGAGACATTTATAGCTAAGTGGATGCACATTGAGGCCATACTCTTAAGTGAAATAAATGGGACACACGTGTTCTCTGGTGTGAAAAACTAAAAGTGTAAATAAGGATCAAAATGTATAATTGATATTGTGTCACAGGAAGAAAAGGTCTAAAGGAGCAGGGGAAGTGGGAGGGGCAGGGGAAAGGAAAGAAGGGAAAGGAAGAAAATATGAGAAAAGGAAAAAATGGAAACAAAGTCTTTGTAAACAGGGAAGGGTGGAGGGGGTGAAGGGAGGACAGGGGAATGGGGGAAAAATAAGAACCAAGATGCATCATGTAAAGGTACAAGATCCCAAGGAGGAATGTAACTGTATTTATACCTAAAACGTACCAATAAACTTAATGGAAAAAAATTTACTGAATTTGCAAGAAGGAAGTCACATTATCACTTTCATAAAATGCAAAAATCAAAAGCAAGTAAACATACAGAATCATAAACCTATGTGGTACACTAGAGAGAAGCAACAGAACGAAATTAAGAGAAAGCAAAGTCAAGACTGTTAGGTGCAGGGTGTAGCGGGAGAGGGGGACCAGGCCTAGTGCTCAGGGAGCATCCTGCGGGAGGACGACACCACAGGGATGCGCTGTACTGCTCTCCTTCACGGCTTCCTGAAAGTCCTATCAAAAACTTTATCTCCTCTTAGCAGTCAAGAAACGCTTCCAACTTAACACGAGCACAATCTCACCAGAAAGCATTACAGTAACAGCACGCAGCCAACAGTAATCTCAGCAAGAATACCTTTTAGTGGTTTCATTCTAAGAACACAACTGGACAGCAAAAGGAACAAGAGCTTTTGCATGAAGATATTCAGTGGACAATACCCACAACAAGCACACAGATGCAATCCTAAACGCTTAGCAACAGGAATTAACAAGGCAAACTGCGTGCGTCACCAGTACTGTCTCTGTGTTTCCACAAGAAAACATGAAGCCTCGGGAGCAGCACGCTGAAGTTCGCAACTGAAATACTACATGAACAAGCGTGCACAAGAGAAAATACTGTGCGGGCAGCACCAACCTCAGCAAAAACAATGTAAAATAAGTACAGTTACATTATTAAAAATAAACCAGATATAACCACATGTGTGCACAAACAAGAAATTAAAGCTATTATAAGGAATGTGATAAGTGGATTTTATAAAGACAAATTCAACAGTACACCAAATATTTAAAAAGGACCAAAATGAAACAGAAACCCAGAAGAAACGCTCTTCTGTTGCTGGCTCACGTCTGTGACGAGGGGCATGACCCACTGTGCCCGCTGCCCACATGCGTACCCTCAGGCTGCCCCTCGCCGCAGCCCCCTACCCGGCGTGGACGGCCTCTCCAGCATGCTCAGGTGGTGGGAGATGAAGGCCTGGCTGTCGTGAACGGTGTCCATGTCTACCTCCTCCTCGTCTTGAGAGCTGGAGAACTGGAGAGAGAAGAGAGGGGCCGTCACATCTCTGCGCCCGGCTCTGGGTGGGAGGGAGCCACGGAACACCCCACGCCACCGTCCAAAAGGAGTAAGGCCATGTGGTGCGGCCTCCCAAGGAAGCTGATCAAAGATCCCTGAGTCGAGGTGGCAACTAAAGTCTGCTCCTACGCGGTGAGAAGCGGAGCTGTGGAGGGACTGCGACGTGCACAGTTCCTTCCCGAACAGGGGAGAGATGGGCGAGAAGGGAAGCCAGTGGCTGGAGCTCCTCAGCCGGGCCTCGGTAGCCCCGCACATTCCTGCTCGGAGAAACCACTGGGAGATTCCAGAGCGCTGAGAACACAGGCCTGAGCTGGATCGTTTACTCTGAGGTTGAGTTTGACTGTACTGCTATCCTCCTCCTTCTCCAGGGTCTGCCCCGGCTCTCGGGTACCCCAGAGGTGTACCAGCCCTCCTCTTCACCCCGAGGAGGAGCGGACACACTACATGAGCTTCCTTGGCAAGCTGTTCCTCCCTGCGGCAATACTAAAGACCAAAATTAGGATCCACAAGGCAGCTGACACCCGGGAGCTATTGAGAGCTATTCTGACCATGCAGATTAGAGCATGCTCAGTAACCAAGGGTTATCAGCAATGGGCTTTCAAAACTTAACCTTTTCCTGTCCGTCTCCCGTTCTCTCTGGGGAAAAGGGAAATATTCAGGTGAACTTCTAGAGCAGTGATGGCGAACCTTTTAGAGCTTACAATGAAAACAAACAGCCTGCTGTGGCACGCGTGCCATAGGTTTGCCACCACTGTTCTAGAGCTTTTCCAAAAGAACGTTATCTCTCTGTGTTACTTTCTCCTCATATCTTGAAGGGTGAATGTGGATAAATTAACATACATGGGCAAGAATTATCAACATTTATTTTTACAGATTTAGAAATATTTAGATTAGAAAGGGCTCTCTAATTAGACTTTGTATCTGTGCAAGGCTTTTTTATTTTTATCTAAACTCTAGGATATGTTTTGCATTTATAATAATTGGGTTTCAGAAAATTTAGACAAATATGTAAATTTTAAAATGGTCATTATTAATTATTATAAAAAAATTAGTTTTAACCCTGTTAAAAAACACCAGTAGAGAATTGCTAGGCAGGTAATCTGGTCTAATTATTGGTGAAAAATGAAACTTGATGTGTCACAGACATTTTGTCATCAATGAGAAAACTGTTTCTAGAAAACTTTCTTTTTTTTTGGTACCGGGGATCGAACTCAGGACCTTGTGTTTGCGAGGCAGGCAGCGGCAGCGGCACCGAGCTACATCCCCAGCCCTGGAAAACTTTCTTTATAGTGAAATGGTTAACATGTATCCTGTGAGTTTGTTTACAAAAAGTCTGCCGGTTTCATAGCACTGTACCATGCACCCAGTTTTTACTTATCTTCACTCAACAAGCATTTATCAGCCACAGGCTAGGATTTGCACAGAGGGAAGGTTGAAAGGGCAGCGCTGTGTCCAAACAGTGTGGCCTCGATGCCCTGACAAGATGGCAAGAGCAGTAGCTAGCACTCTGATCACAGGAGGGGAGAGTGGCCGGCAATGCACACGCTTAGGTCAGTGATGCAGCTGACTACACAACAGCCAGTTACACACAGCTGTCAGCCAGATGTTTAGCGGGTTTGCCATCAGCTCTAACCAACCCCCCAGAGGGCTCTAGAAATACCGCTGCACCTTCCGTGTGCCCGTGGCTCTTACAGGGTTCTGAAATCCAGCCAGGTGTATGTGACTGCCTGGATTACTCGAGGCTTCTTGGCTGCCTGAGACAGCCTCTGGAATTATGGTAGGGTTCAAGACAGCTTTCTTTTCCTTTAGGTTAAGAACTAGGCCGAGCTCTGGCAAGGGTAGACAGGAAGGTCTGCTGAGGCCGAAGAGTGTGAAATACAAGTCCACGGCACCACACCGCAACCGCCAGTCATGTGAGGTACCTGGGAAGTAAGGAACAAAGATACTCATTAGCACACCTTCATTCAGACAAAATGAGCAACACACTCACCTGAAAACCCAATATTCCAACATGAACGTTTTTCCTGGCCTTAAATCTTCCTTTTGCTTCTTCCCTCAGTAATTACGCCACACTCACCTGAAAACCCAATATTCCAACCTGAGCGTTTTTCCTGGCCTTAAATCTTCCTTTTGGTTCTTCCCTCAGTAATTACACCACACTCACCCATTCTGTCCATCTTAATTCTCTTCATCAGTTTCCCGTTAGGGAAACAGAGCTCCACAAGCCCTCAGGCCCTCTCCCTGCCACTCACTGTCTCCTAGTTTAGCCGTCCAGGGTTTAAATATGCTAAGAATGCAGACAACTGCCGGGCGTGGTGATGCACACCTGTCGGCCTCCCACTCCCAAAGGCTGAGGCGGGATTCCAAGTTCGAGACCGGCCTCGACAACTTAGTTACTTTAGTGAGGCCATGTCTCAAGATAAAAAGGAATAAAAGGACTCGAGACATAGCTCAGTGTGAAGGCCCTGGGTTCAATCCCGGGTACTGAAAGAACAAACAAACACAACTACTTGAAATAACATAATTCTGGGCCAAGGATTTAGCTCAGTGGTTCTGCCTCCTGCCTTGCAAGGGCAAGATCCTGAGTTCGATGCCCAGTACCAAAAAAACCCAAAAAACAAAAAACTTAATTCTGAACTTGGACTTACTGTAGAGAAGAAAAGTATTTTTTTAACAGTCTTTTTTTTTTCCTGGTACCAGGAATTGAACTCATGACCTTGCGCTTGCCAGGCAGGTGGGGTGCCACTGAGTTACATCCCTGGCCCTTAACACTCTTATATGGGTATTGTTGTACTACATCTACATCTTTTTTTTAATAACAGAAATAAGCACATCACAGGGACATCCACTGGTGGTAAACGTGTACCTAGCAGAAGATGGCAGCCTGGGCAGAAATTCAGCTTCAGGTAGTTAGAGGCCGGGCAGATTCAGTTTCTCTGAGTGTTTTCCCCACCAGAAGCCTGGGTCTGGGGCCATCCTTCACCTGACCACAGCCCCAAGCACACTGGCCCCAGAGCCTTCTGTCGCTTCCCTTCCCCCAGCACAGCTCCCCACAGACGCTGCCTCCACAGACAAAAGGGCTGACAAGGTCTGTTGCCTGGGCTTGTACGGTCTCTATGGGTTCAGCTGGAACGTAGGACGATCCGGAGAGTTTAATACACACAGATGGAAGAAGATGGAAACTCCTCTCGGTAACAGAAGTCAATCTGATAAATACTTAAGAACCATGGCTTCACAAGAACATAATGTTTAAAAAGGACATGCCAAAAAAGAAGACGGTGCTACGGCACATTCTGGACATCCTAAATATTAAACACTAGAATTAGTAAATCCAGGATAATCTAGCAGTGACTTGGACGCCAGGCACAGGCAGGCTGCCCCCGAGGAACTCGGCTGCATGGTGAGGGTCCCGAGCCGGGCACGGTGGGCTGGGCTGCCCTGTGGCGAGGTGACAGATGTGGAGGCTTCCACGTAGGAGAAAGGAGAGGCCCTGACGAGGCCCAGGGCTTCACATCCAAAACAAGGAGTGTGAAGGAGGCACCCGTGACCAGAGGGCTTCACACGGGAAGCCACCTCTCGCTCGAGGCCATGCTCTGGGGCCATGCTCAGCCGCCTCTCTGTGGATGGGGACAGCTGCTGGGCCCCCCCGCCCCGCCCCCGGCGGTCTGCCCTCACACACAACAGGAACGGAGCGCATCTGCACTCACATGATTCTACACAGGTAAGCTAATGTTGCCACCAAAAGTATTTCCTTATTCTTTTTTTTGTTTGTTTTGGTTTATTTTTTTGGGTCCTTGCACTTGCGAGGCAGGCAGCGGAACCACTGAGCTAAATCCCCGGCCCCCAGATTTCCCTATCCTGCAATCTGGCAAATCCTATCGAACTAAATTAGAAATTGTTCTTCCTTCTGCCTCCTAGAGCACTGCTCTAAATTTCCAAACACTAAGATAATCATGAAGTAAACAGCTTCTAAAGCCTTGCACAGTGACACAGATGATTTGATGGCATTCTTACAGCAATGTGACAAACATGGAAGGGCCACCTGGGAGTAAGGCTGACATTTCCTTTGTAATGATGTACAGGGAGGACACCATCGCCACAACCAAGGTGTGCCTCCTCAGAAAAGAAACCTCTCCTAACCAGGCAATACCAGAGTCATCACTTATGTCTTCTGCCCTCCTCCTGAGGTACTGGGGCCTGTGCACTGAGCTAGACACCCAACCTTCTGTTTTTGAGAAGGGTCTCACTAGGTCACTAAGATACCCAGGCTGAGCTCACACTTGTGGTCCTCCTGCCTCAGCCTCCCACAGTGCTGGGATTACAAGCATGTGTCACCAAGCCCGACACTGTCATAAACAAAATGCTCATAAAAATCCAATTCTTTGGTTTTTATTTTATTTTACTTTTTTATTTTTTATTTTTCTTTTGGTACTGGGGATCGAACTCAGGACCTTGCGCTTTCGAGGCAGGCAACGGAACCACTGAGCTAAATCCCCGGCCCTGGTTTTTATTTTTAATATGTGTTTTAACTTATTTTCATGGGCTAGAATTCAGTATCTTAAAGGTATAAAAAGGATGGTGCCATATGTTCCTTTGGGAAGGGAAATCATTTCTTCCAGAGAGGAAGTTATTGCCTCAGCTAACAAAAGTGGACCCAGTGCCAGCACCTGCTCAGCAGAGCCTGTAGCCTAAAGCACGAGCTCCCAGCCCAGGACTGGGTGCGGACCCACCAGGCCCAGATGCTGAGCCCCTTAAACCTGCCTCCTCCACACCTTTCCCTGCGGCAAACTCCTCTGGTTCCTCGAGCCACTCAGCGAGCCACTCAGCATCACCTCGGGAACAATCTCTGACCAGACCACAGCAGGGCTCCCAGCTGCCTCCTGCAAGCCCCCAAGCAGTTTGTGCTGTTTGTTTCAGCAGCTACCTCTGGACTGAAGGTTACCAGTTCCTCAATCTGTCACTTGTCACCCAGCACCAACACTGAAAACATCGTCGCACACACAATACAGAGCACAGTAGTAAATAGAGGGGGCTCCCAAAATAATTACTGAATAAATTAGTGAGGCTTTGTCTATGTAATTAAAAGATGCTTATCTTTAAAAATATTTTCTATCTGTCTGTGAAGGATTGTTGATTAAAAAGCAGATGGGCATACAAAGACCATTTGGGGGGACAACTGAGGCAGTCTGAATAAAGGCATGTGACAATGTTATTGTGAGTGCTTAGCCCTTACTCTCAGAAGATCATGACAATGGAAAGAAGATAAATTGGGCCTGGTGGTGCATGCCTGTAATCCCAGCACCAGAGAGGCTGAGGCAGGAGGATCACCACAAGTTCAAGGTCAGCCTAGAACAGTTAGACCCTGTCTTTAAAAAACAAAAGATGCACACATACACACAGAGTACATTGTGTGTGTGTGTATGTGTATATATATGTATGTGTTGGTGTACAGTACACATACTTAGAAACAGAAAAAGTGATAAATGTGCTAAGATTTTAGTACTTGGTGACTGAGGCTATTCATCCTACTAGGCCTTTGATTATTCTAAGTTATGAAATTTTTAGAAACAAAATGCTAGGATTAAGAAGTTACAAATATAGGAAAACTAAAGAATGCAGCAAAACGTCTGACATGTATGAACATGTGTGACATCCATGTGTGTGTACATGCATGTGTGTGCACACTCGTGCACTCACAGCAGAGTCAGAGGGTGCCAGAAAAGCCCCCCAGCTGCAGCCCTGCCAGGCAGCCCAGCGCCTGAGTGTGGCCCTCTTCACCGACGCTGCCTCGGCTCCCAGGAGCCTGGTGTCCCCCGGTGCATTTCTAAAACGAGCATTATTCCTAGGAGTTGGTTTATGAATTTCCAAATACCAGCAACATCATTTCTGCCTCACTCACAAACTGCTTTCAGCTTCCTAAATCTCCCTCTAGCTGACCACAGCTACTCTGTTACTGAAAAGCTTCTGAAACAAGACAAGCACACACCCGTGTCTGACCCCTCAACAGCACCTGGTGACGATCCCACCTGATGACCTTTGCTTAGTGGCCACGACACTCTCTTCCACATTTTGAAAAGGAATCAATTAATTTTTTAACTATGCAGAGTCAACATCAAATTCACTGCGGACTGAGAAATAAGTAAAAAACTACAATTAAATCTCAGCTGCTCATAGTCTATGAGATGTAAATTCGGAGAAGCATACCGATGACATCACCACTCTACCAGGGTGGCGTGAGAAACGAGAAGAGCTTAGGAAAGTCACGCGGTGCATCACAACTGAGCCAAGATCCCAGCGAGTGGTCCTCCAAGCTCTCCAGCCTCTGGCCTGCACAGCTGAAGCAGGAAACTGAAGCTGGGCTTGCAGCAGAGCATGGTCCCCAGGGTGTGATGGGAACACAGCACACGCTCCTCTGATGCAGAGGTAACGACACTCATTTTTCACTCCAGCGTAATCTTCTAAAGTTAAATAACTAGGAACACTTTGTGGACTCCTCTTTATAGCTCTCTAACTGCCCAGAACACTTTCACATAAATTTTCATTTCTGCAGCCACCCCAGGGACAAAGTGAGTGTCTGCCTGACAACTGTCCTCCTGCCCACCGCCGAGAAGCTGCAGCGGCCTACTTTAACACGACAGAACTGGAACTCAGGTTTGCAAGTGCGAATGAATTGAAAGTCTGTTCTCAGATGTAATTTTTTAAAAAACGTCATTGATTCTCACCAGAATTCATGAGTTTCCAAAGCTGATCTACGAGGGCTTCATTGCATAAGGGAGACTCCGTGTTTTTTGTAAACGGTGGGTTCTTGGTCAACATGTTTAGAATCTTATGCCTGAAAGAGTAAAATATAAATGCGTTTCACTATCTGCTGATGAATGTTAGGAGTGGAGACACTAGGAAATATGTAACAACTTGCAATACTTCCTCCTTCCTATTCCACTTTCCATTATGTCTAGTTTCATCTCAAAAGATGTAATGCTACATCCTAAATATTTACCACTTGTTTTTCTACTAAAGTAGATTTGCTTTCTAAAATCACCTTACTGAATTAAAATCAGTATTAGTGATAACTCCATACTCATTTTATTGTGGCACAATTCACAACAACCAAGACACGGAACCAGCCTGTGTACCAACAACAAAGAAATGGATAAAGAAAATTCACACACACACACACACACACACCACGGAGTATTATGCAACTATAAAGAAGAATAAAGTTATGTCATTTGCAGGAAAATGGATGGAATGAGAGATCATGTTTAGTGAAATAAGTCAGACTCAGAAAGATAAATATCCCATGTTTCCCCTTTATGAGGACTATTAAAAACGAGATGAGGGCCAGGGATGTAGCTCAGTGGTTATGGCACCTGCCTCACAAGCGCAAGGTCCTGAGTTCGATCCTCAGTACCAAAAAACCCCCCAAAAACCCAGATGACATGAAAGTAGAATGGAAACGAATACTAGACAAGAGGAAAGGAATAAGGGGGAAGGGTGGTACATGTGTAAGGGAAGGTGATACAAAGGGAAAATATCATCGAAATACACCATTTTTGTGTATGAAAATACACTGAAACCTAGTATTCTGTAAAATTCATCTGTACTAATACAATATATATTTAAAAAACCAAGTCACTACTATACAATAGGTCTTCTAAAGCCTGACTACATAATCTGAACCAATCTTTACCATCGCACTTTCTACAAACTAAATACTCTACTCTCCCGAGAAACATGAAACCCAACCCCACAAAAAACCTGTAAAAATCAGGACAGAAATACTACACGTAGACCTATGTCCAACCTATGTCCGGCATGGGCGAAGACTGTGGTGTTTATACAGAGGAGCACACAGTGCCACAGAGGGTGACCTGAGTTCTCTGGAGGAAACGGACACAACACCATGAGACCACGCCACTGAGTGAAAGGAACCACACTGTTCCTCTCCTATGAGCAACTCACAATACAAAGAATTTAGGGTACAAAATGAAAGACGAGCTGGGTGTGGGGTGCACACCTGTGATCCTAGCACTTGGGAGGCTGAGGCAGGAGGGTCATCAAGAGTTTGAGGCCGGCCTGAACTATATAGCGAGATCTGGTTTCAAAACACCAAAACCCCAAAACCCCACCAAAAATAAGTGCCTGTATTTGGGGGCAGGGGAGGAAATGGTTCTGATTTTAAGAAAGACAAAAACTTTTAATTATGTCTTAAAGATTAGGCAGTCTATCCCATTAATACAACCAAATACAGCCTTTCTCTAGGGTGGTTTCATGAATTCTTAAAAGAGTAATAATGTGCACAAAAGAAGAGCTCCTGTTCAAGGTACAGAAACCAACAAAACAGTCCCAAGACACTAAGAACACACAGACAGAGCCCCTGTAGGCTAACACCTTCTCCTGCCACCATCTGCTGCCAATGACAACTTTCGGCAACAAATGTGGGGTTCTTGTGACTCTGCATGAAGAGCGTGCTAAATGACTCTGGAGCTCCCTTAATGGTGATATAAATGAACTGCATCAGTTAGGGAAAATTGGAAGCTTAGCTATGACATGTGCCCTTCCACAGACTTTCAGCTCAGACTGTAATGAGCAGGCACTTGGACTGTGACTGCACTGGGGCCGCCACACAGCAGCATTCCCAAGCTACTACTTAGGCTGTGCAGTACACCACTCACACAGTAATGACAAACTTACAAAACGATGACAGTCTGCTAAACCTGTCTTCAAATCAGACCTCAAATACACGACCTCAAAAGAACACCTCTGAAATACACGTGTTGGTACCAGTGCTGGTCACATAAGCCATAAACAAGGGATGCACGACCAGCTTTACCTGCACTGTCTTATACTTTCTGTCCCTCCTGGCTCCCGTGACCCTCCAGACCCATGTGTCATTCCTGAATATCTGTCCGCTTTACCATGGTGCTCAGGAGATGTTCTCCTCCATGCTAGCTTCACCTCAGTGGACAAACTGTTTAAAATATACTTTAGAGCACGAGTCAAGAATTATGAAATCTTCACAACAAAATTTTGTACAAAGAATATTTTTATAACAAGCATCTCTTAACACTCTGAAATGCAAGGTTACTTAACCGAGAACTCACAGAATCAACCTAAAAAGCTGTCACCAAAGAGCAACCCCTACTGTAGTTTCTGCGGCCCCACATCTCAGTGCAGAGAGAAGGCATAGTCTAGTTCATGTCCATTTAAAACATTATCTGCCAACTGACTACATGTAGAGCTAAGCCAGGCAGCTGGCCTCTGTGTCTATATCCTCGTTTCTACTTAAAATGGCTACAAATCACTTTTCATCTTTAAACGTCTTTTCTAAACAACTCTAGAGGCTGAAGCAGGAGGATTGAGAGCTCAAGGCCACCCTGGGCAACACGGGGAGACCCTGTCTCAAAAACAAAATCTCTTCTGTGAAGTCGTAATATTAAACCAAATTAAATCTTATCCATTATGAACAAAGAAAGGAAGAGACCGAAATGATAAATTTAATTCTATCTGAACACCTTATAAACATCCTACTTTGTAAGAAAGGAGCAGAAATAAAAGAAATGTTTAGAAGGGGAAACAAAAGAGAACACATATCAAGACTGGGATTTTGCCAGGTGTGGTGGTGCGCACTTGGGAGGCAAGTTCAAAAGTCAGTTCAAGGCCAGCCTGAACTACATACTAAGACCCTGTCTGAAAAAAACAAAAAAATAGGGATGTTAAAAATTTTTCCTAAAGTTTGGTAATGTAATGCTACCTTTTAAAATAATCTGAAGTCTAATAAAAATTGAGACTTTATATGAGACAGAAAAATAGAAACAAATGGGATCCACAAAATATTGCTTTTAATTACTTTCAAAATAGTGAAAGCCAGGTGTGGTGGCACACACTTGTAATCCCAGCACTCAGGAGGCTGAGGCAGGAGGATTGCCATGAGTTCAAGGCCACCCTGGGCTACACAGTGACATCCTGTCTCAAAAAAAAAAAAAAAGTGAAATCAACCACGACAGGGGTTTTATAATTTGGGCTAAACAGAGGATCATCTGTATTTCTGTATTTACCAACTGTTATATGAGTTTTCCTTTAAGTTACGAAAGAAACCATACTTAAATTACAGAAAATAAACTTTGTTTATTAACAACATATTTTGAAAATGTTTTTGCAAAGGCAAATTAAATTTTTTAAATCACAGAAAAGAGGACATGAATAAGTATAAGTGCTGTATGCGTGTAACCCCCACTGCACAAGAGGCTGAGCGGGGACTGGCCAGTCTGAGGCCAGCCTGGGGAATTCACCAAGACTTTGTCTCAATAAAACTCAGATGGGCCGGGGATTTAGCTCAGTGGTTTTGCAGCCTGCTGCGCAAGCGCAAGGACCTGAGTTCGATCCCCAGTACCAAAAATAAATAAATAAATAAATAAAACTCAGAAAGGGCTGAGGAGGTAGCTCAGTGGCAGGCCTCAGGCCCTGTGTGCACTTCTCAGTACAGAAAGAACAAAAAGGGCATGAATAAATGTGTAACATATTTCTACATTTGCAAAACATCCATAATAGAATCTTCTGAGATTATTCAGTTCATGTCAGGACTTACAGAAAGTAAAATGTTACAGTACATAAACTAACCTCACATAGGGTACAGGGTCATTCTGAATCATATTAAGTAGCCACTGCAGTTCTTCATAACTTCTGTCCACTGAAAATGCAAATGAGAACATACATGTGTGGTTAGTTTTAAAGAATTATGTAACAAGTGATAAGCAAGGAGCTGCATTTGTTATTTAGGGATCCATCTGAGCTGCATGTCCATCCAGAGGTAAGGCTACAGGGAAGCTCCTACATCTTCATTTTTTTAATGCAACAGATCATTTTAACCTTCATAAGTATGTATCAGGCCACAGGTACCAAGACCTTTAAATAAAACCATTTTGAGATGCTTAAACTATAGAAATTTGATACCCAAATACACCCCAACTCACCACCCGCCTTGCAACCGCAAGGTCCCGAGTTCGATCCCCAGTACCAAACAAACAAAAAAACCCAAATACACCCCAACTACATTTATACAGTATATCAACTGTTTCTGCCTACATAATTTCTTCCATTTAAACTAAACAACAGTCTTAATTTTTCAGCACGATATAAAGGGCAATTAAAGAGTGCTATGAATATAACTGACATAAAATGATTCACTAGCTGAAAATGGCCATACTTCCAAAACTACTTTATAGATTTAATGCAATGCCGATTGAAATTCCAACAATATACTTCACCGAACTAGAGAAAAGAATCCAAAAATTCATTTGGAACAAGAAGAGACCTAGAATAGCAGAAGCGATTCTAGGCAACAGAGACATGGCAGGGGGTATCACAATCCCCAACTTGAAACTATACTACAAAGCTAATGTGATAAAAACAGCATGGTACTGGCAAAGAAACAGACCCAAGGATCAGTGGAATAGATTAGAAGATGCAGAAACAACTTCAGACACACTCAGCCATCTCATCTTTGACAAAGGAGCCAAACATCTTCACTGGAGGAAAGATAGCCTATTTAATAAATGGTGTTGGTAAAACTGGATTTTCAACTTGCCAAAGATTAAAACTAGATTAAAAGATTAAAACCATACCTATCACCATGCACTAAACTAAGATCAAAGTGGATTAAAGATCTAAATATTAAGACCGAAAACACTAAACTTGCTGGAAGATAAGTTAGGTAGAACTCTTGAAGACATTGGCATAGGAAAAGACTTTATGAACAAAACCTCAGTAGCATGGGAACTAGCAGAAAGAATCAACAACTGGGATCTCATCTTATTAAAAAGCTTCTGCACCTCAAGAGAAACCACCAACAGAGCTAAGAGACAACCTACAACGTGGGAAAAAATTTTTAGCAGCTGTACCTTAGACAAAGGTCTACTATCTAGAATATATAAAGAACTGAAAAAAATCAGACCCCCCAAATTCAAAGACCCAATTCAAAAATGGGCATCCAAAATGAACAGACATTTCTCAGACAAAGAAGTAAAAGCAGCAAATAAATACATGAAAAAATGCTCAACATCACTGGTCATTCAAGAGATGCAGATGAAAACAATACTGAGATTCCATCTCACCCCAGAAAGAATGGCTGCTATCAAGAAATCAACCAATAACAAATGCAGTGGTGGGGATAAAGGAACTGTTATTCATTGTTGCTGGGAGTGCAGGCTGGTGCAACCACTGTGCAAATCAGTACGGAGATACCTCAAAGACCTAGGGCTAGGCCAGGGATTTAGCTCAGTGGTTTTGTCGCCTGCTGGGAGTTCGATCCCTGGTACCAAAAGAAAAAAAAGAACTAGGACTAGAGGTCCCATTTGACCCAAGTTATTCATGTTGGGTATCTTCCCCACAGAATTAAAAGAATCATACCACAGCGATATATGTGCACCCATGTTTGTAGCAGCACAGTTTGTAATAGCTAAAGCTTGGAAACAGCCCAAGTGCCCATCAACTGGAAACTAGATAAAGATGTGGGTTTTTAATAAAATGGAGTACTACTCAGCCATAAAGAACAACAAACTAGAGACATTTATAGCTGAATGGATGCATATTGAGGCCACACACTCTTAAGTGAAATAAATAGGACACACATGGGTAAATACTGAATAGTTTCTCTAGTGTGAGAAACTGAAATGGTAAATAAGGATTAAAACAAATAACTGATAATTTGAAATAGGAAAACAAGGTCCAAAGAGGTAGAGAAAGGGGAAAGGAAAGAAGGGAAAGGAAAAATTATGAGAAAAGAAAGAAATGGAAACAAAGTCTATGTAAATAGGGAAGGGTAGGGGGGTGAAGGGTGCACAGGTAACAGGGAAAAAATAAGAACCAAGATACATCGTGTACAGGTACAAGCACCCAATGATAAATGGAAACATACTGTATACCTAAAATGTACCAATAAAAGAATTTAAGGGAAAAAAATGATTCACTAGCTATTTCCATTTACCTTTTCAATGATTTTGCTTTTATAATTTGAAAAGCTTTATTTACAAAATTTTACTGCCAATATTTTTCATTTCTTCAAATTTCTAATTGAACACCAATATTTAAACTTTAAATTTAACAAGTAATGAAGTCTTGGCTCACATTTAGACACCATTTGATTAAATTATACTTATTAATTAGCATTTTTTGGAAATCCTAATATTAGTACTTTATTTCCTACAAGCAGTACTGATTCACAAAATCTTCATATTTATGAGACACTGAATATCATTCTTCCATCTTGAAAAAGTGGGTTGGGAATGCTAGCAAATTTAGGGGACCTCAAGACTTGTCTAGCACACCTGCAATCCTAGCACACGGGAGGCTGAGGCAGGAGGATCACTGTGAATTCCAGGTCACCCTGGGCTACATAACAAGACCCTGTAAATTACAGACTAGTTAAATGGCAAAGTAGAAAGGTAGACTGCTACAGGATTACAGGATTTTTTCTTGCCAAAGAATTCATTATTCAACAGATCACTATCTCTACCATTATCTGTTTTTTGTTTGTTTGGTACCTGGGATGGAACCACTGAGCTAAATCCCTGGCCCTACCATTCTCTCTTAAATGAAACTGTATTTTAACCACCAAGGAAGGAACAAATGAGTTCTTCCTGAACTGAACCCAACCTATGTATCACACAAAAACTCATCACCTTTCTTTACTATCAGACTATAAATATGTGTTGGGATTGACCAAAATTACCATATTTAAGCCTCCACCCCTCCACTTAAAGCTTCAAAGGAGGCAGTAGCTCCAGAAGAACTCTCCACCCTCCCTGTCTTCAGAGAAGCTGCTCTTGCTTTCACTTCCTTACCCTTCTTGTTTCAGTGCTACCATCTGAACTTCAGGGGCAGACTACATTTACATACTTCTTTTACTTGTACATTATTTTTAAGACTTCTGAGATATGGATCCAGTTTTACAACCAGCGCAACAAGTACGCAAGCACAGCTTTCCCGCTCCAGGCACAGGTGTCACCACCAGCTCTTTCCTTTCAGGCATTCTTCGTTCACACACGGTGCACACCCAGGTCGGACGCGCTCGGGAGTTCTGTTTGTGAGGGTGCTGCACAGGTGCACACTTCTTCTCCACAGTGACACTGGGACAACCTCAGGGGAGGGCATTCCCCAGACTCAGAGGCGCTGTGTGGTCTTAGGGCTTCATGAGGCGCTCAGAGGCCACGTGCGCGGCAATTCCGTCTCCTACCTGGCCTGGAGCGGATACTCCAACGAGCACGCGCACTCTTTGCTGGTCCTGAGAAATTATAATCCGCCAGGACCCAGCGTGGGCCGGTTTACTTGAGCGCCTTTCAGAGCGCTCTACAGTTCACGGATCGCTGCTTTTCTCCCTCACGCTTCATTCTTCACCTTCTTTTTGCTGTCAGCTCTTCATCTTGGTCATCTGAGTCTGGGAGGGTTTCTAATATGTAGTATTTGTCTTGCTCATTTTGGGGCCTGCATGAATGTTTTTCACCAACTTCAGAAAGCCTCACATAACTTTCCTACTGAAGTTCTGGTTTATGTCTTTTTCTTTTTTGGGTACCAGGGTTTGAACTCGGGACCTTGCTCTTTTGAAGCAAGCGGCGGAACCACTGAGCTAAATCCCCAGTTGGTTTATGTCTCTTGCTCCATTTCCATAGATACAAAATTTTACATGGGTGTAAGATGTTTTATTGAATCTTTCGTAGAAATTTCCCCAAAATCTCCTTTTCTTTCTTCCTTTCTTTCATTTTATGTATTTATTTATTTTTGGTTTTCTGAGACAGGGTCTTGCTATATATAGTATATATAGTCCAGGCTGGCCTTGAACTCACTATGTAGTCCAGGCTACCCTCAAACTCCTGGTCATCCTCCTGCCTCAGCTTCCTGAGTGCTAGGATGACAGATACACACCACCACACCTGGTAAAAAAAAATCTGTCACTTTTAAAAAGAGCATGAAATTAAATCCATAGAGTAACAGAGTACAATAAAAAAATACAGTGAATGTTTAAATTTTAAAACTTTACTATAGTAAAAGACACTGAATCCCCCTCAAAATACTCCTCACTTTTTAAACACACTCATCCCATCATCACTCTTGCCACTTTCTAAAGCAGCTCTGGTGTCCTCTCTCCTGAGGGGCTTTGTTTGTGCTGTTGTGGTCACTTCGCTTCCTGATTCAAAATGCTTACCTTTCATGGCCAATAGGGTTTAGATCCCAATTGTCCCCCCAGATTCTCAGGTGTGGAAGGTGACTGATGCCGGGGGTGCTACAGCTGACTTCCGGTTAGGAGGAGGAGCCTGGGGGGGGGGTTGAAACCTGGGCTGTTCTGGTCCCAGGCTCCTCCTCCTGCTCTCTGCTTCCTGTCTGCACGGGTCGTGCACTTTTCCCCTGCCTTTCCCCTACCTTTCCTGCCATCCGGTTTCTGTGCTGGAACCAGCCAAGCAGGGACTGACTGAAACAGGGAGCCAAATGAAAGAACCTCTCTAGGGCCAGGGAATTAGTGGTTCTATCACCTTCCTCGCAAGTGCAAGGTCCAGAGTTTGATCCCCGGTACCAAAAAAAAGAGAAAGAACCTCTCCTCCAAGTTGTGTGTTGTGTATTTTGATCCAGCAATAAGAAAATGACTGAGACAATGGTCACACTGACTGGGGAAGAGCCAGAAGCAGCAGGTGCCAGATCCAGCGAGTACGGTGGATGAGGACCGACTGTCATGCTTTAACGAGCCTGCCTTTCCACTGGATGGCACTCGGCAGCAACACACCACGTTTATCACATCTCATAAGACACCATGAAAGTGGACTGCAGAACTATTTCGGCAAGTGACCAAGAATTATGGGAAAAGCGTGTTCAAAGCGAAGGGAAGGGTACTGAGAAGGGGATTAATTGTTGTTATTGGTTGTAATTAATTTTTATTTAAATACTGTTATTACTTTTCTGTCATTGCTGAGAGAAAATACTCAACACCCAAAGGTAAAGGAGGAAAGGTTTATTTAGCTCACAGTTTGTAGAGGTTTCAGTCCATAATCAGCTGGCTCCAAAGCAGGGTGGCACATGGCAGAGGGCAACAGTTCATGGCAGCAGAAAGCAGCAAAAGCAACAAGGGAACCTTAACAGCGGCTTTCTGCCCCTTTTAACCAGATTGCTGGGATTAGGGTGGGACCAAACCAGTCAGGAGACCATTTAGTAATCACACGCCCTTAATCCCAGCTCACACTCCAGATTCAGGCACCTCTGACAAAGCTCCCACCTCCAAACCGGTGAGGCCTTGGGAGACACAGCCTAACAAACACACATGGTATTTTCTGATCATGACTTCTCAGAAAGGCTAACGAGATGTGTGAACTGTCTTTTCTCTCATTTATCAATTCTTACATTAATTCAACATTTATCATAAATCTTTTCTAAATCGGTGAATTGAGAATTAAAAATTAAAATATCTGTGTTGTGCATACTATGAAACCCCAAAACTAAGGCTGGCTTTAAAAACTATTGCTTTCTACAAGACACGAGCATCTCCCTCTAAAGTGTTACCTTTGGTATAATCAACCACCGCTTCCAAAGCTGCTATCCTGATGTCCACGAAGTGGCCATATTCCGCATACGACTTAAAGAGGGCAGGGTCACTCGGCACATGCCCATTCTTCTGCAGGACCCGGATGGCTCTCAGGCAACTAGCTCAGAAGAAATATAGGTTAACTTTTTTCCTTGAGGATGCTTCCAGGTACTAGAGATTCATTTGTCACAGGAAATTTAAAAATAACCCCATACTCAATTCTGTAATATTTAATTTTACAATGATGGTAACATTTCATAATCAATATCAAAAATATGTTTGGAAACATAAATTTCAAAACCTGACTGGAAACTCCAGAGCTTCAGGCTTCATGGAGCTCTGAGCTCCATGTACTGTCACAGATGTACACAAATACATACTATATTTTTGCAAAAATTTTTAATATAGTTTATTCAGTATATAAATGGAAAGTCAAATTTGTTCATAATGTTTTAATCAGTAACCAACTTTTAGCAAACTTAAAGTGAGCCGAATTTTTTTTATAGCCATATACAAAGAAGCTAGTCTGATAAGAAGGCTGAGGACAGTGATTTTATCACATACTGATTGAAATAAAAATGAGGCAGACACAGGGCCGGGGATTTAGCTCAGTGGTTCTGCCTCCTGCCTTGCAAGCGCAAGGTCCCAAGTTCAATCCCCGGTACAAAAAAAAAAAAAAATGAGGCAGACATCAAAAATAACGTTTTATCAAGAATTTCTAATGACAGGAGAAAGCACTTAAGACATAAACTGAATATATTTCCATTTTATCAAATGAGAATAAGTGTATTTTAGAGTTATAAAAATATATACACTTGAAGAAAATCAAAGAATTTACGGATACCTGACGGTGATGGTATGTCTGTAGCTTGGGAGAAGTTTCTCCATGTTCAGAAACCTTGTGATTTCTTCCAAAATGAGTCGCACATCGGGATTTAAGTTATCCAGAGTTCTGACTTCATTATTCACACTGACAGCCGGGGTAACGGAGTTGGCCAGGGCATCGATCATTTCTGCACGGTAATAGTTATCTGAAAACTAAAGCAAAGAATAATCAAAAGAAGATAAAATGAAGTCTTCTGATGAAAAGTTAAGAGAGAACTTAACTTTTTTAAGAACAACAACCTTATCTAAAACATAAGCTAATTCTCTTGTAAATATTCAACTCTGTCCTTTGCAGTCACAAGTGTAAGAACTGAATGAAAGGGACGTATGAAGCAGTGACACAAGAGCCTGAGTAACTATTTACCGAATGTAGGAACTTAGCCAGGTCTTCTACGAAGACACCAGAGTCCATAGTTCTACTGCCTATCTCCCAGTCAGCTATTATCGCTCTAGTTTAATACATAGACATACAACCAAGGGTCACCAGGTATTTGAAGAAAGCATCGATATAAAAGGAAAGAAAAGAACTCAGAAAGAAAAAAGCAACTTGGAAATAGAAAATACAGGGAACAGATTACTTCAGTAAAGGATAAAAATATTCTAAAAATTATCATTAATATTGTCTGAGTAATAGCCAGTGATATTTCTTCCAACAGCACAACATTATTTTTGAGAAGAAAAAACTAAGCCAGGCACAGTGGTGCACTCTTGTAACTGCTCCTCGTGATGCTGAGGCAGGAGGGTTGCAGCTCAGCAAGGCCCTGGACAAGCCGACGAGACCCTGCCTCACAATAAAAAAAAGAAGGGTTGGAGGGCTGGGGATTTAGCTCAGTGGTTCTGCCACCTGCCTCGCAAGCACAAGGTCCTGAGTTCGATCCGCAGTACCAAAAAAAGAAAGAAAAAAGAAGGGTTGGGGATGTAGGTCAGTAGCACAGCACTTGCCTCGTATGCAGGAGGCCCCAGGTTCAATGCCCAGAAGTACAAAATCAACTCACTGTCAGTTCGCGGAGATAAAAGAGAGGAAGGTTGGGGTGTGGCTCAGGGGTAGCAGGCTGCCCGCCGACATGAGGCCCTGGCCAGGATCCCAGCACTGGAAAACAAGTCCATCAAGAGGCAGGAAGAAAAGCAGCACAATTCAGCTGCAAAATGAAGCAGCACAATTACACAGCAAGTGAATTACTCTTCCCTGAAATAGCGCTGTGCTCCTAACACATCCACTTACATAGCGAAACAGGAGAAAGCTTAAGGGCTGGGGTGTGGATGAGACAAATCCAAGGTGAAAGTTGATATACTTCCCCAAACTTGTTAAATTCTGAATCAGTTCCTTATTCTTTGAAAGCCACAGGTATTTTCCCAGTCCTTTCCCTCCATTGTAAGTCCTTCCTATCTCCCCTGAGATTCCTTAGACTGTATCCTCCTGCCTCAGCCTGCCTCTCTGGTTTTACCAGCACCCTCCTCTTCTATTCTGTCAGCCCGGGTTTACAGCTCCTCTAGACTCTGCCTTCCTCCCAGAAACCCTCTCTGGCTTCCTCAGCCTCGGCATGGGTTCACCATCCACGGACCTCCTCAGAGCCCAGACAGCAGCTGTGCCTACACACTCTCCTGCCTAACACGTCGGTCCCCTGTGTGTCTCTCCTACAGAGTAAGGACCTGAAGAGATGGTGCATATTCCTTAATACTGTCAAAGCCTTGTATCAGGAGACATCCGGGAAGATGGCAGAGTGGTGAGCAGCAGAGAAAGAGCCTCTCTGAGAGTCAGTGTCCTGACACAGGAATATAGCAGCTCGAAGAGAAGGGGGAAGTGGGTCCCCGGGACCCAGGAAGGATCTGAAGTGAGAACTGAAGTCCACGGGGAGAGTGAAGAGAGAGACCTCACCAAAGACAAGGGAGGTAGCAAGCAGTGCTCTCTCCCAGAGCCCAGACTCATGGCGTGGGAATGGCGGCTCCAACCTGCAAGACACAGTGACAACTGGCGACCCCAGAGGCCTCCACGGAGAGAGGCACCAGTGGAACGGAGCAGTGGATGCAGCAGACTGCAGTGGCTGGGGCAAGAGAGGGTGACTGGCTGGTAACCATCTTGGAGAGAGGACAACTGAGCTCAGAACTCAGAGCAGCTATGGGCGACTCCATCCAGTGGCTCCCAGTGTCTCGGTGCGGGTGCCGAGTTCAAGTCAGCAGGAGGTTAGGGAGCAGAGTTCAAGTCACCTGGGAGCCAAGTTCAAGCCAGCAGGAGCCACATGAACTATTGCAGGCTCACGACACCTGGTCCCAGCCTCATGGCCAGAAACCAGCCTGAAGTTCAGTGGAACTAAAGCTGCAGGCCAGCTGGGATTATCCACTCCCTGCCACAGAGCTACGGCTGGCTTGCTGGGTTACCGCAGTCAGCTCAGGACTCTGTCTACCCACCGTGTCTACCAGTGACAGCAGAGACATGCCTTGGATTGGGCTTTTATTTTTCTTTTGTCTTCTGTCTTTTCTTTTTTCCCCTTTTCTGGTTCTTGTTCTTGATTTTTTTTTCCTTGACTGTTTGAACATGGTTTCTGGTTTTGTTGTTGTTGTTCTGTTCTATTCTTGATTTTGTTTTTTCCTTTCTCTTTCCCACCTGTCTGCTTAACCACCGGTTTCCCAAATTTCCAGTTTGTATGATCTTCCTGGGTCCTCCAGCCTTGCTTCTAATCTCTTTCTCTTCTATCTCTCTATCCCCCCACCTCCCCTCTTAAATCTTCTCCCCTAATGGTAGAATCACCATATTAAGGGTTTATTTATTGTGTACAATTTTCTGGTTAGTTTTAGATTTTGTATAATAACCACAAATCCAGTTCAGAGGTTAAAGGTGGCAAATTAATAGTTAGCACAGTTTGTCATTTTCTAGGCTGTATTTGATGCTATTGTTATTGCTGACTGTACTACTTTAGCCAAGGTGACATAATTGTGCTGATCTGTTGTTCTTCCTGGTAGGCCAAGACTGAGTGTGCCTAAGAGTCTTAAAAAAAAAAACTACAGGCCAGGGCCAAAGAACTGGTGGCTCAGCCAAGTAGGCAGAAACTTTTCATCCCCAATAAACTGAAGAGGCAGGATCTTGAAACAGGCTGAAAACCCAAAAGCCAGCTACACCTGGAAGACACCTCTGAGAAGTAGTCATTTCCTAAGGGTTCAGAATACTGGCAGTACAGATACTTGCCATAAGCAATTTATAAGCATCAACCCAGGAATTAAACTTAAAAAAAAAAAAGAAAGAAAGAAAATGAGAAGACACCTAAACAAGAGGCAACTGCCCCAGACTCTCAGTTTACCAAAGGCAAACCCAAGGGGCAATGAGGTGGAACAATCTGAAAACCACCCACCTGGAGTCTGAAGTGGTAACAGCGGAAGTAACAAAGCAGATGAATAAGGCTCTAGAAAAAAACCAATGCAGAAATAATTTCTCAGATGACTGCAGAGATGGTGACCAGAATAAAAGACATAGTGACTCTAGAGAAGATATAGATTTAAAAAAAAAAAGAGCTCAGGAAAATGATGGAAACCATGAACACCCAGCATAGGAAAGAAATGGAAACCATGAAACAGATTCAAACAGATATCCAAGAGATTAAAAACTCCACTGAAAGTATAAGCAGCAGAATGAGCCAATGTGAGGATAGAACAGCCGATATAGAAGACAGAATTGCAGGTAGCAATCGTGAAAAGAAAGATTTCTTTTCTTTTTTTGGTACTGGGGATCAAGCTCAGGACCTTGTGCTTCAAGTCAGACGGTGGCACCACTGAGCTAAATCCCAGGCCCAAGAAAGATCTCTTAAAAATAGCAAGGGATCACAAGAAATCAATCTAGCAGCTGGTAGATGATGCAAAGAAGAATAACATAAAATTGATCAGAGTCAATGAAAAAGCAGGAGATAGCACAAATGACAAAAACAAAAAAACCTGTTATTCACAAAAGTAATGGCAGAAAACTTCCCAAGCAAGGAAAAAGATTTTGACATACAGAGAAGTGAGGCATATAGAATTCCAATTAGCTGTGATCAAAAAAAGAGCTACACCACAGCATATAATAATCAAGATTCCAGAAATTCCACACAAGAACAGCAGATTAAAACCTGTTAGAGGGCCGGGGATTTAGCTCAGTGGTTCCGGTACTTGCCTTGTAAAAGAAACAAATCACCTATAAAGGAAAGCCCATCAGAATCTCAGCAGACTTCTTAACACAAACTCTCAAGTTGAGGACAGCTTGGAGTGAAGTATTTCAAGCCCTAAAGGAAAACAACCTCCAGCCCAGATTGATGTACCCTGCAAAACTATTTACCTTTTAAAATTGATGGGAGAATTTTCCTAGTCTGGATCATATGGCTGTGTATTTAGAAGGAGCTAGGAAAACTCTGGGGTTATCTCAATTTGACTACCTTAACTACCTTTTATTTAAAAAAGACAAAATCTTTAACACCTGCTGGGATTTATGAGATTTTCTAGCTCCAGCTCATCCCGTTTAAAGGGATTTTAATTAGCAGAGGTCCCTGGCTATGGACACATTCAAAATGACTAATGTAAATTTACTTTCTGTTTTAAAAGAGGACTGCTTTGTTAGTGTGATAATGAATAGGTAAGATACGAAGAAATTGCAGCACTCTCGGTTCAAGTGCAATAGCTATTCCGGTACAGAAAATATCATTAATTCAGGTGGACTGAGAGTGCTTGAGATTAGTGTACAGGAGCTGAATTATCCAAGTTTACTTTTTAATTGCATAAGAATGGGGCATTTTAGTTTCATTTCCCTCACTGTTAACAGAAAGAACTTGGAAATGGGTATGATTTCTTGGCAGTGGGAGGGACACTGTGGGAAGTTTGTTTAGTCTAATTCTTCCTTGAAGTTAACAATGATTCACATCTTTAGGGATTTCTCCTCATCAACAGCATTTTTTAAGTGCCTATCTAAAAGCAGTGAAAGACTGTCTGCCCTTTGGAAGCTAAGATTTGATTCTTGATGCACATTAACTAGATGATTTGCAAAGCAACCTTGAGGTTTACTTTTCTCTATTATACATTTCCCATATTTCAGGTGAATTATTTAAGTGATAAAACCCTATCTAATCAACTGGGCATGTTGACATTTTCTTTAAATTGGACTCTATTTTGAATTAAAAGTTTTAATATAAACAGTG